GTGAGGGCAGAGGGCAGCTCCTGTCTGGATGCTGCAGACGGCCCACCCCCACCCCCACCCGGCTTTCTCAGCGCTCACTGGTCACTGCCCTCCCCACCCCGCAGCTGGACCGCCTGGAGCTGGACCCCGTGAAGCAGTTGCTGGAAGATCGCTGGAAGTCCTTGCGGCAGCAGCTCAAAGAGCACTCTCCACTCTACCAGGCAGACGAGGCGGCGGCCATGCGGAGGTGGGGCACGGACGACAGCGGGGGGCTGGGGGGCGGGGGGTGGGGTCCCCAGATGAACAGCTCCCACCGGCGTGTGGTGTGCTCTGAGGGAATGGCTGATCCCGCTGGACCATCCCACAGCTGCTGGGACAGAATTTGAGAGCTTGAAAACTCTTCCAGCTTAGGCCGGTTCCTTAGGGTGGAGAAAGGGCGGGGAGAGAGGCTAAGGCTCTCTGGCACGGCTGTGCTCCGCGGGGCCGCCGTGTCAGCGACCGGCCCACAGTCCCCAGAGCTGAGCCTGCTCGCGGGGGTGGGGGTGGGGGCGGGGGGGCTGGTCCACGGCAGGCTGGAATCCCAGGGTTTCCATTATTGGCCGCCAGAGGGCCCCCGAGGTTTACACAGGGCATCCGTCAGGGGCTCTTTGAAACCCTGCTGGCTTTGGGTTAGGACAGGTGGGTGCTGGATGGGCGCCCCAAAGCTGGCCTGCCTAGGAGCTCGTGTGTTCCCAGGGAACTGGGACCAGATCTGCCTGGGGTGGCTCGGGGCCTGCCACCCTGGTGAGCCAAGCCTCCAGCCCGCCTGGCCTGCAGAGGGGCCATGGCCTGCTGTGTCCTCCGTCTCTCCCATTCCCGACCCTCTGGGCAGGGCACTCACCACCTGCGTGTATCCCGCTCCTCACAGGCAGCTCTTGGCACATTTTCACTGCCTCTCTTGTGACCGTCCCTTGGAGACAGCTGTGACTGGACAGTGAGTGCCCACACCTGGCCAACCCCAGCTGGTGGCGGTCATGGGGGCGGGCCCAGCAGGGCTGTAGCTCCTCCATTCCCTACCTGCCTCCAGCTCTTGTCCTTCCTCGTCTCCTCTCCCCTGGGTCCATTCCCGTGTGCCTGGCCGCGTGCTAGCCCTCCGTCCTTCCCTGCGCCTCACCCTGGACCGGAAGCCTCCGCAGGCACGTAGCCTGTGGAGTCCTGAATTTGGGAATGGGATTTCTCACTCCCCAACCCGCCTCTTCTTTCTGTCCCTGCCCAGATTTATCCCTGTGACTCCTGTGGGCCCAGCCCTGCCTGGGCACCGTTCCCTCCGCCCCTACACTATCTTTGAGCTGGAGCAGGTCCGACAGCAGAGCCGCAAGTACGGGGCAGTGGGCTCCCGGGCAGGGCTTCACAGGCGAGACTGGGGCAGAGGCTGGAGGGCGAGTGTGGGGGGCTCCTCCTCTTCCTGGCTGGACAGCGGGGGGCACGGAGTGATTTCTGGGCTAGCCTCCCAGTTCTTCCCCGGAAGAGGAAGAATGGAGACCTACTTAGTAATCCCCTGCCTTTGAGTCCCTACTGGGGGTCCCGGTGGGACATTGCCAAGGGTGCTGGCTGTCTGGGGGGAGCTCCTCTTTACCTCCTCACACACCCCCGGATGCTTCAGCTATCTCGGCAGCCCTGGCATGGGAGGAAGGGAGGGGATCTGACATCACCCAGCCAGAGGGTGGGCTCAGTGAGTGAGGGGGGAGAAGGTGCGGAGGTATTGCACACTCCCTCGGGCTCCTGCCCCCCTCCCCGCTGCATTTCCATCTCCCAAGGATGAGGGTTCAGCAGTAAGGATGGTTTCAAACTGCCCTTTGGAGCCCTTGGGGTTTCAGGGAGGCAAGGCTAAGTGTGCAGGGCTTCTCCCCATTTCAGCTTCTGCCCTGCCCCATCTGTGGTCCCTCGGAGTGCTATGGGAAGGGCTCCTGCCCACACAGGGTCCTGCTTAAAAAGGCGCCGATAAAGGGGTGGAGTGGGTCAGGGTCTGAGTGTGGGCTCAAGCTGGTGTGGCCCCCTTGCCCCTCCCGTCTGCCTGCGCCCCACAGCCTAAAGCTGGGCGGTACTGCCCTCCCTCGGGGCGAGTTGGCGCACATGGAGCGGAGCGTGGGGCGCCTGCGCACCATGCACTCCAAGATGCTGATGGACATTGAGAAGGTGCAGATCCACTTTGGAGGCTCGGTCAAGGCCAGCAGCCAGATGATCCGGGAGCTGCTGCAGTCACAGTGCCTGAGCTCCCCCTGCTATAAACGGTAGGACCACACAGACTGGGCCGCTGGCCGCGGGGCTCAGCTTCTGCCCACCCACAGCCCTGTGAATGTCTCATCCACTGCTGGGGAAAGCCCTGCCAAGGACAGGTGGTGGGGCAGGGGGTAGAGAGAGGGTATCAGAGGTCTTCAGGACGGCCCAGAAGTGGCGTTGCTCCGCTCACCCATTCCCTTGCTCCTGCCCTGGCTCCCGGAGACCCCCGACACAGCGGTCCCACCTCTGGCTGGCTGGCCCCCACCATAGAGGTGGGTCGCAGGGGACACCTTCTCCCGGTGACTCTGCCGTCCCCGTCACAGGGCGCCGGAGACCGCCGACTACACGTACTCGAGTGGGCCCCGGCGCTGTGGGGGCAGCCACACCCTCACCTACCCCTACCGTCGCAACCGCCTGCAGCACCTGCCCCAGGGCCCGTACCCCCCCGACGAGGCTCGGATCGCCGTGAAGGTTCGGGGTGCGGCCTGCGAGTGAAGAGAGAGGGCCCTGACATGACCCCACGTTCTCAAGTCATTCTGGAAAAACCACCTAAGTCACCAGAAGGGGGCGGATGACGAGCCCTCTGCCCGGAGGCTGTTTCTGAAAAAGCCTCTGGTTCTTAGGCTTTGTTGGGAAGAATGCCATCCTGGCCACCTGCCCGTCTAGCACTACCATCCCCACCATGGGCCCTCTCTTCACCCTGGCGCTGCCAGAGCCCTGGGGGAGGGTTCTGAGCACCGTTTGGTTCTGGGAGTCAGGAGAGGACGTCACTCGGTGGCCCCCCGGCCCTCGTGGGGGAAGGACCGGAGGGCACGCTCCAGGTGCCACATGGTAATGGATGTCCCCCTTTCACCCCCACAGCATGACGAGGTGGATATCTTGGGCCTGGATGGACATATTTACAAGGGACGGATGGATACAAGGCTGCCAGGCCTCCTGACCAAAGACAGTGAGTGTCCCGGGGGCCCAGAGGCTCCTTGCTCGAGTCCCCGGGGGTCTGTCCAGTTCCTGGAAGGCCATGGGGCCCCTGGATCCTGGGTGCCTTCTCCTCCTCTACCTCCCTGATTGCAAACGTCCTGAAAGCCCCAGGTCAGTGTTTGCAGGTGGGGGACAGCCGTCCACTCTCAGCCAATGAGCCGGGACGTCATGGCCGCGTCTTTCTTGCCAGCATTCCTCCTCGTGCTGCCTCACCAGCTTGCCTGCCTCAGCTTCTGTTCCCAGCACCACCGGGGCCGAGTTCTGACCCTCCTTCAAAACTCAAAATGCCCCTCCTCAGCCCTCCACCACTTGGAGAATTTCCCACCCCCCTGATGCCCACCTCCAGCAAGCCAGACCGCACTGTTTGTCACTCCCCACCTGCTCTTAGAGCGCTGTGTGCACCTGTCTAGCCGCCTGCCCTCCTGAACTGTGAGCCCAGGTCAGAGCTCACCCAGCAGCAGGCACAGGGCTCCTGGGTGTAGGTCCCCAGAGCATATCTGAGTGGGTGTGGGGGGGTGGATGGACACACGGACATCGGAATGAATGGAGTGCTTAGAAGGGGCATATCCATCAGTTCAGACCAGGAAGGACCCCGGCTGAGGCTGGCTGTGACCGGTGGCCCTGCAGCCCTCTCCCCATCCCCCATGGGTCCCCACAGAGCTCTCACTCGGCGTCTCAGAACTGACCCCACCCCCCTTCGCTGTCCCCTGCCAGCCTCCGTCTCCGGGATGACCAAGCACAGGGCCAAGCAGTCGCGGCCCCACGTGCACAGGCAGCAGTCCCTGAGCGACAACGACCAGCTGCCCTCGCGGCCTCAGAGCGCTCAGATGCTGGCTCGCAACAGTCCAGGTAGCTTCCCTTCGGCTGGAGCAGCCTTCCAGGTGGCCTCCCCACTGCCCCGGGGGCTCTCCCGCTTGCCCCGCCGGCCCCCTTTCCTGCCCCTGATGGTCTCTGCCCTCATTTCCCTGGAGAGAGGAAGCACGTGGGAGCTGAGAGATGGGATGGGAGGGAGAAGAGAGAAAGTCCATCTTCACTGAGTTCCTGTTATGTGCCAGGGCTGTACTGTCCCCATGTCCCAGAAGAGGGAACAGGGGCAGGGTTGCAGCCCAAGGCTCTGGCTCCACACCCGAGTCCTGCCCCGGCTCACAGAGGCTCACTCTGCTGGAGCTGGTGCTCAGCTCTGGGCAGCAGCTGGTGGGCACGGGGCCGTGACATGGCCCCCCGGGAACCTCTCAGTCCAACCTTGTCTGGGGAGGAGCTTCTCCTCACCCCCAGGCCTGGAAGGTCCCTCGAGTCCCTGTTCTCCCCCTGAGGGGCTAAATCCTGCCTGAAAGTCTGGGGGCTAAGGGGCCCCCAGGGTCCAGCCACACGTGGGGGCCAGAGAGGGACATAGGCCTGGAGCCACGAGGCCGGATCACCTTCAAGTGACTCTGAGCAAGTCCCCGCCCCCCCTCCAGACCTGTTTCCTCATCTGCCCAGAAGGGGTGCTGGATTGGTGGCACTCAGAGTCGGGGCACCCAAGAAAGGGGATCTAACGAAAGGGGCTGATCTTCCTACAGAAAGTTACGTTCCCCCAACACTTTGCAGATGCCTGCAGGAGGTTCAAGGGCCACTCCCCCCCTTCCCCCACCCCTGTTAAAGGCCCAGCCCTAGATGCCCTTTACCACCCATTCCAGTTCCAGCGCTCAGTGAGCGCCTGGAGGAAGCGGAAACAGAAGCGATAGCCCTGGTCATGGCACCTCGCCTCTAGTGAGGGTTCTCACCAGCCAGGCACCGTGAAGGGCTTTACACGTTCGAACGGGTTTTAATCCTCACACCAACATTGAGAAGTAGGGACCACTGTGAGCATCACTTATAGCTGAGAAAATGGAGGCACAGCTAGGAAGCAGCGGGAGTGGAATTCAGACCTAAGTTGTCTGCCTCCAGAACCTATGCTGGTCACAACGCGTGGCAGGTGACTCAGGGGCGGACAGGCCGGGACAGACGACTCGGTGGCGGACAGAGTGCAGGGCTGCGATTGCGTTCTTGGGGGCACTTAACTTCCTCCTTCTTGGCACTCCACTGTCTACTCTGAGGGCACCTAAAATGTTAGGGGAGCAGGAGAGAGAGAGAGAGGGCAGGCTTAGGAACAATTCCTGCACCTATTGGTGTGAATAGTGCCTCAGTAGCCCCTGCATTACTAGAGGAAACATCACTTAAGAGGCAGGCTCTTGGCCACCGACGGAGGGCTTGATTATTTTTAACTCCCAGAGATTAGCAAGGAGCTCTGTTCAGGAGCTCCCATGCCGGCTTGCACTGCCCACCACAGCCCCGCGGGGCCCCCTCTCCAGCATTCTGCCCGCCCCCCAATCGGCCTGCACTTCGTGCAAGCTGGGGAGGGCCTGGCAGGCTGCAGTGGGTGTGGGGCCCGGTGGGACAGAGCCACCCCAGCCCCCCCATGTCTCACAGCTCCTCCTCCTCCACGGAAAGACAGACCCTTGTCCTCCGAGGGGCACCTGGCCCAGCCCAGCGCAGCCCACCCACCCAGCCCCAGCGAGATGGAGATGCAGATGGACATGCCTCCCGGGGAGGGGCTTGAAGAGCCCACCCGGGGGCCGCGGTCCACCACTGCTCATTGACCAAAGTTATTAATAAATGTTTGGGAAGAAGCTCGGGGGCAGCGAGGCTTCTGTGGGCTTGGCTCGAGCAGATGGAGTGGAAGGGGAGGGACCCAGCCCAGGTCCGGGTCGCCGGCCTTCAGTTATTGGACAGGTCCGACTTACAGCCTGAGAATGAGACCATGACCCACCCCCCTCCCGCCGCAACAGATGAAGCTACGCTCCAAGGGTGCGGGGGCTTCAGGAGAAGCCGCAGAGGCCAGACCCCAGACCCGGCGGCTGGCGGGCCACAGTAGGACCCACTCTCACCCCTGTCAGCTCTCTCCTGACCTCAGCGGGACCCCGAGGCTGCTGCCTTTTCCGGCCTGGGGATGCTGGCCCACAGGGTGGCCTGGCCGACTGGGGCGTTCGGGAGAGGTTGGGGTTCGTGGTGTCCGTGCACCAGCCGTGCCATGCAGCCAAGGTGAGGGTGGCAGCGCCCAGCTCCTGGCACGACGTCCCGGGGGGAGCAGGTCACCTGGGAAGGTTTCGGTTTGCTGGCCTCTGCAGCTTACCTTTGAGCAGCTGCTGCAGAGGCAGAGGGGCTGCCTGGCCTAGGCTGGTTCCCTGCTCCACTCACCCCTCCCCAGAAAGAGCAGAAGGGTGTCGGGAGGGGGTTTGCCAGGTGACTGCCATTTGCCCAGAAGCCTCCAGGCCTAGCCTTTGTCCTGCCCCAGCCCGCTGGGCTCCACTAGCCCCAAACAGGCACGAGGGTTCACTGCTACCCTGAGTCCCGTGTGCTAAGGGTCTTGGCGGGTTTGAGGGGACAGAGGAGCGAGGGGCGGGGACTGAGCTCAGCAGGTGCAGCAACTGTAAGGGACAAGCCCCCAGGCCCCACTGGAACCCTGGGCACAAGTGAGAACTGCCCTCCCCCTGAGGCCTCTGAAGTCACAGAAGCAGCTTTTCTGTCTTCAGGTCTGTCCTCATGGGGGGCCCCCACCCCCAGTCCCCATCACCCCGACATGGGAAGGGGATGTCTCACACAAGAGGCTGCTTCAAGGTGTCAGTGGATGGGGTGACATGACACACGAAAGTGTGGCAGGAAACTGCTCAGAAAAGGGTTTCTCCCCAGTCCCATGTGGGCAAAGGAGGGTGGGGTTGGCTGGGGGTGTCATGGGGTAGGGCAGGTGCTCCCTATGGGGTGGGGGGGGGCCTTCCCCCTACCTTCCCCATGGGCTGAGATCCCAGCCGTCTTCATGCAATGATCTAATGCTCTGGCTAGACAAGAGGGGAGCAGCTTGAACCTGAGGGCCCGGGTCGGCAGGCCTCACACCAGGCGCCCTTTCTTCCCTCCTCCCGGAGCAGGGGGCGGGGCCGGCTCCAGCCCCTCTGCCCCTGCTCCGGCTATTTCTCACTTTGCCTGAGAGATGTCAGAAGGTTGCCAGCTCAGTGTCCCTGGCCTAGAATCCAAACTCACCATCTCGGCAGGGAGGGGCAGAAGCAGGCCATCCTAGCCCTCCACACCCAGGCTTCGCTGCGCAGGCAAGGACCGGGAGGGGAGGACATTCCCCAAGCAGCGCAGGCCAACCCCCATCCTGGCACCTGGGCCAGGCCGCCCACCCTCCCCAGGCTGTGGTCCCAGCGTGGCCGCCTACGTGCCCTCCAGGGACTTCCCCTTGCAGGCCCGGAAAGCACAGGTGGGCTGGCTGAGGGGTGAGGCCGGGAGGAGGCCCAGGGGTTTCCAATCAGGAAACAAAACTGAAAGGACTAACCCAGCCTCAAAGTAAACCATCCCATGCAGAGGGGCTGAGGGCAGCTGTGGGCAGGTTCCGCTTGGCTCTGCAGGGGCCGCTGGGCGGGCAGGCGGGAGGAGGTGGCCTGGCTTACTACCCAGGACCCTTCTCAGGTGTCACTCCCACTTTGGGTATGAACCTCCAACCCCTGCAGTCCCAATCTACAGCAGGGTCGATTACAGGGCTCTGGCCCCTTGAGGAGGGAGAAAACGAGCCCCCCACACACACACTACACACACGTGTTGAAGGGGCCTTGGGGGGCAGGGGGGTGCAAGGTAGCATCCCTCCTCCCCAGCATGAGGCTGGAGAAATCCCAACCCTGGGGCCAGTCACCACCTCCTCCAGCCCCACCTCACCACCCGCACTGCCGGATCATTCGAGCAAAGGCCCCACTGGGCCAGGAATCCCCAACACAGCTTCTGTTCTAATGGCTAGAAGCTGTGGGGAAGGTGGGAAGGGAAAGGAAGCCAGTCCCTTTGGGGACCCACCCTGTCTGTGGATCCCAGACAGCCCTGGTTGACCTCTGGGGGATGGCCGCTCAACATGCACTCAGGGCCAGGCTCCCCCAAGAAGTTGAAGATAGGAACAGAAGGGGTGGGCCCAACAGGAAGATGCCTGGGGGGGCCTGAGCGGGGGGGCTGCCAGGGGCCACAAAGTGGAGGAGTAGCTCCTCCCACCGCAGACAAGGCTTTAGGGCCAAGCGCCAGCCTGTAGCCGGCTACACTGCAAGGGCCAACAAGGGGAGAGGGTCACGGAAACCAGTCAGGCCCAGGCCCCACTCTCCCTCCCATACTCAACTGGACCCAGCTGGTCCCATCAACCCCCTGGTCTGGACACCCCTTCTCCGAATATCCAGACCAGCCACAAGGCACCTAAGCCCCTCCCCGCTCACAGCACACCAGGAGCCCCACCCGCCCCTTCCCAAGGAGAGCCCGGGTTTCCTACCAAGGCAAATAAAGGCACCGCAAACTAGGGAAGTTAGAAAAGTCTCTTTTAAGTTTTTAAATTAAAATTTCACCCTGGTGAGATGATTGATTTGGGAAGTAAATCCAAGGCAAGCTCTCCACTCTGTCGGGTGCGACACACAGTGGGAGAGGCAGGGTGGCCGAGGAGCCTCAGGACCCCTGCTAGGCAGAGCCTGAGTCTCTGGCCCAAGCCGGCTCTTTAGTTCTGCACAAGCCCCGCACATCTGGCTGGCGACGGGTGACACCAGAAGAGACCCGGAGCTGCAGGGCCCCTGAGGAGCCAGCCATGGAAGTCCGGTTAGGGAGAGCTCGTGATGGCAAGGGGCCTCCGCACCTTCAGCCGACGGGCGCTTCAGGGAGCCCCTGCTGTGGAACTCCTTGAGTGGATCCACGGTGGTCCTCTTGATTCCCGAAGGCGTGACCTCTGAGAGGCAGCTAGCAGACCCCTCATGGCTGCAGATCCCCCCACCTGGCTTCCAAGCACCTGGCTTCCAAGCACCTGCCCTGGGACGAGGGGTGGAGGGAAGGGGTGCTGGCCCAAGGGGACGCTCTGGCCCTTCCCTGCTGACCCCAACACCTCGGTCAGCCAGCCCCATTCTCACATACATTAGTTATATTTATATTTTCATATATATTATAGTTATATATTAAAAAGAGAAAAAAACTTGTCTGAAGAGAAACTCCTGAAGGACCCAAGTGGCTCAGGAAGTTTACTATCCCCCCCCCAACCCACAAAAATTATTTTATAAAATCTTCCAGTGCGATCTTCAGGAAACCCCCACCCGCCCCGACTCCCCCCACCCCGGCCCTCCTGTGTCCCCTCGACCCTGGACTGCCCTCCCCGCCCCCAGCTCCAGCCCAGCGCCCGGCAGCATCCAGTCTCATCTCTGGCCATCCATGGCAGCCATGGCTTTCTGCTGGGCGCCACCCTGCTGCGCTCCGGGGGGCCACGTGGGCTGTGGGTGGTGGAGGTGGTGGAAGCTGTGGGCCGTGGGGGAGGAGGGCGGGATCCAGGCGGCCTGGTGGCTGGGTGGGGACGAGGCCCAGAAGGGGCTGAAGCTTGCAGGGGGGGAGCAGGCCACGGCCGTCATGGGACTATTGCTGCCCTGCAAGCCCTCGGAGGCACGAAGCTTGGAGAACATGGCCAGTGCGTCAGGGAAGTTGGGCGGTGTGGCAGGTGTGTTGCTTGGGGTGCACATCTGCTGGGAGAGAACACAGGTGTCGGGAAGGTTATGGGCACACGCCACCCAACTCTGAGCCATGCCCAGTGAACCCCCAACAGAGCCTACGGTGGGGCCCACCCAGGCCGGCCCCTCCTCCATTCCCATTTTCCAGTCCACGGGCAGCTTCCACCGAACAGAAGCACCCTTCTCGCCCTGAGCCAATACAAACAATAAGGACAAACCCCGACAATTTTTATCAACACCAAAGAGTGTTTCCTGAATGCCGGGCGGGGATGCCCCCGAGGAGTGTCCGCAGCAAAGGGTTAATTCCAACCAGAAGCCAGGGTGTCAGATTCAAGTGAGGACAAAAGAGCAGCCCAGGACACCAGTGCTTAGCGCCTCAGCCTGGGTAAGAAACCAGCTGGCTCCCTCAGTAATCCGCCCTCAGATGATCCGAGGTTGCTGGTCGAAGGCAGGCAGCCAGACCCAGGGTCCCCCTCCTCTGCCGAGGGAGGAGAAGAGAAGGTGCACCTTCCCAGCGTCCGGGCTCACCCCACACTCAACAGCGCCAGCGGGCAGACCTCGGAGGCTCTGTCTCCTGATCTCACTCGTCACAATGCCCAGGCACAGATGAGGAAACTGAGGCCAGGAGCGCAACTCAACGGACCAAAATACACCCGCTGCAGGCTACAGGCTGCGGAAGGTGGGGTTCCTGGGCTCAGATTCCCAGGGCGGCGAGGGGGCCTCCCAGATGTGGAGGCCCCAGCTCTTCCATCTCTAGCCAACCCTGACTCGTCTGGGCTTCACACCTGGGCTCCCCGAGGACAAAAACCAGGGATTTGGGTTTTCTGTGTCCCCAGCATCTCCTTCATGATGCGTTGGCGGGATGCTGGCAGAGTCTCAGCCTGTTCAGTCCCCCTCAGCCCTCCTCCTGGGGGGCAAACTCCCCAAACTCTCCAGCATCCCCCACCCTTTCTGATCAGGGACCCCAGCCGGGAAGGGCAAGGACTGGGGTAGGGTGCTGGACTGTGACTGGCGCCCCCCCCCACCCCCAGCAGGATGGTGGGGCCGGGGGGGGGGAGGTGCCACCCATAAGTCTCTCCCAGGACCCTGGGGAAGAGGCAGCAGAGAGCAAGGCCTACACAAAGCCTGTTCTGACCTCACAGCAGCTTCTCCCTTTCCCAGGAAGCCAAGGGAGTCCTTCTTTGAATTTCTCCTAATTTTAGCAACACCAGCCCCTCCCCCAGGCACGGGGCTGGGGGAGCAAGATTCTAGGGCTCTTCACCTCGCAGAGGGAGCTTTTCACAGCTCTGCAGTTAAATCCCAGCCAGAAATGGGGAGGGAGGCGCATCTGTCCTGTTAACTGGGCCAGCACCCTATCAGCAGCCAGGGGGCTCCAACCATTGTCTTCCTCAGGGGCGGCCACAGGAGACCCAGCAGGCCTGGCCCCACCCAGACCACTTCCCTCCTCCCTCCACGATTCCCCGCCCCCCACCCCAGGGCTGACTTCTCGGCAGCAGGAAACAATGAATGGGGGGTTGGGGGGAGAGGCCAATTGCATCACAGCATCGTGACTTCCCCAGTTGACCAAGCCAGTGAAGCCGGTCTCAAGAACCACCCTGCTGCAGAGAATGGCCTGGCTCGCCTGGACCAGGGGCCTCCTGTGCCCACCTGGCTGTGTGAGCTCGGGCAAGTTCCTTAACCTCTCCGAGGTTCGCCGTACTTCGGTAAAGGCAGGGGTTTGGACCAGATGCTTGCAAAGCCCCTCCAGCTCTTTGCTTCTAAAAACTATGGACAGAGCCCACTGCACCCTGCTTCCAATCCAGTGCCTCACTCCTCTTCTCAGTGCCCCTCAATTCAACCCGGA